TCCCACCTTTCAAAATGCTTGTGCTTAAATCTGTGCTAATCCTGTGAGGATGTACGGCTGTTGCTCAGCCTGCATGACCTTCTCTCATCCTCTCTTCTTCCCTCTCTGCTCTTCTTCTTCTTCCTTTGTCTACATATTCTGGCAGGTCTCCTGCATTTTGCCTGAACAAAGAGCCAAGCCAAAAACATCCTCCTCTGCATCGCTCCCTGTGGTTCTCCCATCCTTCATCCCTTCCATCTCCCTCCATCTTCCTCTCTCATTCTAATTGACTTTGTCGGCTTACTTTCTCGCACCCTGTGGTTTTTCTGCATTTATTCTCATATTTCCTCTGTTTTACTTTAATGCATTATTACATTTTTTTATATCCACAGCCCTTTTCACCATAATAACAGGTTCTTGGTCTCTGCCATATAGTCATATACCACGGCCAGAAGATAAAGACTGGTCCAGTAATACACAAGCACTGACCAAATTAATATCTCTATCTGTTCATCTTGTGTTCTTTACACAAATAGACAACTGCTTAATCTGGAATAAAAATAAACACTTCAGAACAGTAAGAACAAATCTGCACCTACTTAAGTGTATGAACACTCAACAAAGAGCATCTGATTTGTAGACTTTCAAGTTTTTGATTTGCAGTGTCAGACCTCAATGTTTCCTAGTTTTGAGGTACGGGAGGTTTCAGTCCTCATTAAGTGCAATCAAGCTGTGTGTTCATGATTGAGTTTTTATTGGGGTGCGCGAATGTGTGGGTTAAGGTAAAAATTAGTGTACGCCAGACAGCCTCACTCCTTCACGCTAATCTAGCCTTCTTCTCCACCACCTTCTTCACTGCAACATCCAGCTCCAGCTGTCCCTCCTGGGGTATCATTACCTCCTCCACCTGGCACCCCCCTGTATGAATGAGAGCTATCAGACTGGGCTTTTCTTCCTCCCTCCATCAAACATGCCCTTTCAGATATCTGACGTCACACAAAATGAAACCACACACGCACACAGGCTTATAAAACATGGCACTGGGAAATGCTTCTTTGCAGTGGAACAAAGGACAAAGGAGCTGGATTTGACATTGCTGTGCAGCTGTTGCACTACTGTTATTAACACTTCATTGATATACTACTCTTACTCAGTACTGAATTATTATAGACAAAAACCTCCCCCAAAAACCTTTGAGATCTGGCTACTCATCTTCCAGTTAGATTTATAGCCCAGTAGTGTATATATAGTTCAAATATGTCTATTTTGCTTTCTCTGCACTATTGTGTCTGTATTTTTGTTCTGACACCCACAAGCCGACTGGGTGAGCTTTAGTACCAGAGTGACCCCTAGTGGTGAAAGAGGAAACAGCAATTTCTGTCTGATAATCTTCATCTTGTTCAGGTAGTGCATGCCATTGATTAGATATCACAATATTGAGTCAGCAGGAGAAATACAGACTCGTACTAATGTAACTAATGCACAAACTCGGTCCTCCTCATGAAAAATTCAAAATCCTTCTCAAATGATAAAAGTCTAAAACAAGGAGAATGGATGCTACAGTTTTTACTGTAGATCTGTGCAGTGCTTGTTCTTGGCTTTGTGAGAAGTCTTCATTAATGTCAGACGTTGGTCTGTAGACACGAACTCTTTGACACTCAATTTCAACTACATTAGACCTTGTTTCTGCTTGTCTGTGTGTGCTACTGTCAGTTAGCCCTCTGCTCTGCAGGTCTACTCATCAAACTGCCTGGATATGTTGCTGTATGTGGAAAGCCAAGCAGAACCCAGAGCTTCCATTGCTGAGGGTTGGCAGAGAAGCTATTGTACAAATGTCTTCTCAGTACAGCAAAGTTATAAGTCAGAATGAGAATACAAAATACTTCAAATGCTCCATTAAGTACGTGTGACTGTAAAGTTTAATCAAGTCAGATACTTTGGAATCATTTTTAATTTGTATGAAACTAGTGTAATAGCTAAAGGATGTTGGAGGACATATCTAAAATAGGATATATGTATCAATCCCATGTGGATTTTGACCCAACTTTGATTTTTTGTAGCAATTTAAACAAAAAATATTGCAATGATGTACAAAGATGTATAGTAGAACAAGGTTTCTTTACATTTAAATAAACTAAAAAATAATTCTTACTTATATGCAAACATATAAGTATGGGGGAGTGGCAGCCTACAGTAGTTGTTAGGGCATAGAGCTTGAAATCCTGAGGTTCTGAGTGTACCCACTTCCACAGACTGCCACCCTGGCTCCCTGAGCAAAGACTTAACCCCACACTACTCCCCGGGCACCGCACAATGGCAGCCCACTGCTGCCCAAGGAGATGGGTTAAATGCAGAGAATTCATTTCGTTGCTCTGTACTTGTGACAGTGTAATGACAATAAAAGCTGGGGGAAAAAAAACAAAAAAACATGCAAAGCTAAGAACAAAAACAACAAACAACTAAAACATGTTGAGAAACAGCTGCACAACCAGAATTAAAGGGAGCCAAACAATAAATTGTATATTAGGAATTTCCAATCACAGCTTTATGAAATAAAAATAAAGACTTACCAAAAAACAAAAAAGAAGTTCAATTTCTTCTTTACTAAAAATGACAAAGAAAAATAAAAGGTAAAGGGCAAAAGCTGAAGTTAAAGTCTGAAAGATTACAGCAGCACCATAATAAGACTTTTATCATTTTAGTTTACAGGCTCAGCTTACACACAAATAAGAATGTACATGAAAAGCTAGAAGACCAGTGCATCAAGGCCAAGTCTGTTATTACCCTTGATGTGCAAAAATCCTTAATATGATTGGACATTTTAAAGCAGTAACTCATCAATCTCATGTTAAGTTATAAAAACTTTATTCTATTTCATTTAGTCAGTGGGTAAAAAATCATCATTAGGATGTTTCTAACAAAACTATTGGTAAATCAGTAAATTGTTTGTTTCTCTCCTAATTAAAATAAATGAAACAAAGAGACATTGTAATAATATTCAGAACATTATAATTACCAGTCAATGACTGTTATTCTTAATGAATAAATATGTCATGACAGAAACGCATTACTATCCAATGGCCAGTAAGCTACACAGTGTGTTTTATGGTAATAGAGGTTAAAAAAAATATGGCTTGACTGCAGCAAAGGAAGCGAAGATGGTACTGTATCAAGGTTTTTAAAGAAGAAAAAAAAAAACCCTCTAAACTTATTCTTCATGCCAACACTTCAAACAACAATAAAAACAAACATCTTTCTATGAAAGACTTGAATTTCCTTCAGATGAGACGATTTAGCTTTTCTACATAAAACCAAGTATGTTTAATCTTAATCTATATCTGGTGCCTTGGAGAAAATAAGTAATTACTTTCAAAAGATAAAAATGTCAAAAGGTACCTTCTGTCACAGATGAGCCTTAATAATCATGTTAGCACCCACTGATACCTCACAACAAATATCCATCATCTGCAATGCTGTTCTGCTACAAAGAGCAATTGGAGACACAACAAGTTATAGAAGGTATGAGGGAGAATAAATGAAGTTAGAAGGTTTTGAAATTATTTCGAAAATGTTGCCTGTATAAATATTTTTTGAGAACAAAGTTAATATTGAGATTGTGTACTGCTTTGCTGCCTTTAATGAATAAACATAACAAAATGACAGACAGTGATTATGGGATGGACAAACATATGGGCAAATCAAGAGCATTTAAAGCTCACTATCAGTCTTGCTAACAGCCAGTTTAAAAGTGGTAAATTAATCAACCTTCCTGGCTTTGTCTTTATTCCAGACAATTAAAAAAAATTATACCTGCAGGCAGAAGATGATATGATATTGAAGAGATGAAACTGAAACACACTTTAAATGTAGGAGCAACATCTTTAAATCTGAATCAGCTCCACTTGGGGCCACCATTTGTGCAGATCTAGGCTGATATAAAAAGGTGTTATTTAAAAATAAAATTCTCACAGGCCTTGGAAATCGTTCACTTTGAATTCATTTCACAGAGCTCAGCATAACATTTTTGACCTAAACAAAATATTTGGTAAATTTCACTACTAGGTGGACTATTGAGCACTGTCTGCAGACCAAAACAAGATGTATGATAAGCAACGCCTCTCTCCATCTCCACTCCATCTGCAAACATACCCCAACCCCCCATTTCCCACCCCTTTCTAACTCAATGCCTCCTTTCCACATATATATTCCACAAGTATAACAGCAAATAATAATCACCATTTAGAGGAACATAGCTAGTGAAGAAGTCAGTAACTTATAACTTCATAATGCCTTTAGCAGGAGAGCATAAATTATTATTTTCAATTAGATGTTTTGATCTGCTGTACACACTCTCCATCATATTGCTCTTACTGCTTGGACATTTGCATTTTATGGCCAGTTAATCATGAACCTATTGAACATAACAGCAAGATGGCAATGTCATAATATATACCTTTAGGTGAAGCATGTCATGGATATTTCATGACCTCCCAGATGGGCCAATAATGAGCTTTCAAAGGAAACTTTGGTAGAATGGGAAAGTTCACCCCATTTAAACTAGTATTCCCTTATTGAAAACACTGGTTTCTTCATTGCTGTCATCGTGGTTTGCAATAGTCCCAAAGCGTAAGGAATGACTTTGTATCCATTTGTAAAACTTTTATCTGTAAACTTTTTATTTCATGTTCTAGAAAGTAATGCAAGTTAAAACCTTTTTATGTTATGTAATGTTGACAGACTTTTTAAATTTTTTTTATTCATTGTTTCTGCAAGAGTAGGTGAATTTAGATCTTCCTTACTAAAGGCAATCATATCCTAAAACTTGGTTTTTTACTTGTTTAGTTATCCTTGTCTAATATTCATTTTTTGGATGATATGACACATAAGAGTGACAAGCTAAAGCAATAGGAATATGTAAGGGGCAAATACTATTTCAAAGTAATACAATAATAAACTTGTTTCTGTCCATCACATGATCGCCCAGTCATACACATTTTCCATAAATATAAGGGTTAACTCACGTGGTGAAGGCAGGATTGTATTTGGCCCCAAGGTAGTAAGAGTAGAGGTTGAACATTCCAATCATGAAGGCCACAAACACCATAATGAAGATGACCATGAATTTAAAGATGTCTTTGACCGTCCGTCCCAGAGAGATCTGCAATGGGCCAAAGCTCTCATTGGCTGGTAAGATGTAGGCAATGCGTGAGAAACTCAGAACCACGGCAATGGCGTACAAACCCTCAGAGATGATCTGAGGGTCAGAGGGGCGCCACTTGTTCCTCGCTGAAAGAGAAAAGAAAAAACACTTGTTTTAATGGAAAACACTGCAAGTATGTTGAATTAGCCTTCAATATATTTATATTAATGAACAAACCTTTCTTGTAATTATTTAAAGTAACATTTTTCAGTAGTTTCTTAAAGCGGTTGTAAAGTGCTTTCAAATGTTTTTATTGGACTGTTAATGAGAGGCTCTGTGTATGCACCCTGATGCTCTATTTTTCCGGGTCTTTTCCCTGAAAAGACATCACTCGAGACAAACTCTTTAAATAACACTTCATAAGGATAATTATCCTAACAGGACTTTGGGCAGTTTCTTGAGTTTCGCTCTTTCTCATCATGAAAACATATTTTTTAGTATGTTAACAAAATAAGGGGGATAGAGTCAAGTACAAATAAAAACCTCCAAAGCTCAAGCACATCTACTGCATTCAACAGCAAAGTATTTGCTGGAGTATGAGCACCAACTTATACTCCTTCATGTTAATAAAACTAAATTGCTACTTTCTCTCCCTGTGAGCTTGTCAGGTCAAAACAAACAAAATAAAAACAACATTGCCCTGATAAGTGTTCTATTTGAAAACAAAAGTGATTGAAATAAAATGAAAGCATTTAAAATTGCTACAGAGGGCCTGGAGAATTGCTAAATATGAGAACTTTATAAGATAATAAATAGTTTTATTCCTTAAAACCAAATAATTGGGACTCTTTGCTGCTATATTTAGCACTGTATTCCCACAAGGTCTGGAATGGCATATGGCTTTTCTGCTAAAAATGGCTTGGTTGAAATAGGATAGAATGTTTGTTTTTAGCATTTATGCTCATGTGCACTTTGGTTGCTTTTTAAAGTGTTTCTGGCTGCAGCAAGTACAGTTGATCTGAAGTAATGGATACGTTGTTGCTTAAATGCACAGTATCAGCCTTTTTTTGTAACAAAATGCCAATGAATAAAACAGAGAACAGACATCATAGAAATGGAAAATGAAATATTTTTTAGCAGGCAACAGGTAGACCAGCAGTAAAGATGAGATGGGAAGCACAGGAAGTGTGCTGTGTAGATTAATTAATGAAGAAGGAACAAATACTTCAGCTTGATTTAAACAGAGGGCAAAAAAAATATATTTTTTGTGTTTGTTACTTTCTTTTCAGGACAAACATTTCCATCTGCTTAGTTATCTGTCATGACAGAGTCCAACCAGATGGGGGAAGCACTGCTGAGGTTTATCTCTATGTCCAGATCTGCACATTCAATTACCTGCAGACTGTAGCAGGTGATTACACTACATAAATCTGTTAGGGTAAATACATTCCTTTTTTTTTTTTTTACAAAAGCACATCATATTTTCCCTTGTATCCATTGTTTACACCATAGGATCATATTAAGCTGTGAATGATATCACTGTTAATCCAGTTATTATCAGGCCACACCATGTGTCTTAGGAAACACCTGCAATATCATGTTCTGCATTTAGATCATTAGTTACATCCATATTTAATTGCACAATTGTTATAATAAAAACGTTTTGGTACACATCTGGCAGCATCCAAAATCCAACTACTATGAGTCACTGTCTTAATTTTAACCATCATGTGGATATGCTTCTGCATACATACCTTTTAGACACAGACAAATGCTGTCTTTGCTCTCCCATACATTTTTAAGATAATAAAGAGATACTGCAAAATCAGCTATAACAGAATGGATGTTCTTTCTGCAGCTCATTTCACTACATTTTAAAAAAAAATATGAGGCAAAGTGATCAGCTGTAAAAATCAGAGGTGAAGGAACTTCACTGCATCATGCCTTTGCAGCTGCTTATACTGAAAACGGCAAGGCGCAATGAAGAAAGAGCAATTTCCCTTGGAACAGGGAGTGCTTGAGAGGCTGTAAGCTTAACTAAGCCTGTGTTTGAAATATTTAAAATAATTTCCTGGAACTATAGCAACAGACAACTCTCCCTTCGCTGCAAAAAGAGATTACCGTTTTTCTAATTTGCCTCTGGACCAATTTGCTATAAGACAACAGCTTTACATTTGGTCCGATGTGTGCATAATGTGCCGAAAGCTGTCTGCATGTAATCAGATCCATAAATATGCTTGGTAATGCCGGGTGCAAACTGGATTAACATTTCAAGTAAAATGCTAAGGTTTCTCTTCATGTGTCTGATCTGAAGTTTCCAATTTGCAGTCAACCTGAAACAACACCATAGAACTACAGAAACAATTAAAATCTTCATATCATAGCATCAAATAAGCCTTTTTTTAAAGACATTGTTAAAACAATGAATTTTCTGTTTCCTTTATTAAAGAAACATTGCTGATATTATTACTGACAGGATATATTTACCGTAAGTGAAATAAGCCACTTCATCAGGCAGAGAGGCATTGCTGAGGTCTTCATCTGGAACATGCATATTCACATACTGCTGTGCTTTGGATGCCTTCAGGAAGGCCATGAGGCGTGCCGTGAAGGACGCCACAAAGATGGACAACATGCCAAAGTCCAGAACATTCCAGAGGTGCATGATATATTCCCTGGGTCCGTCACTCCAAATCTCCTTACATTCTGACCAAATCATACCTGAAAGTTAAGGAACATATTGAAGTGAACATGAATAGAAAATTATATATATGGGGTGATAAGGCTTTTTACAGTCAGTTGTATTAAAAATCCAATGGATTCAGACAAGCACACACGTAAAAAAAGCCCAAAATTGTAAAAAAGCTGCTTTTTAAAGGTATTTCATGCCAACTAAATCACTTAAGAGATGCCATTTGATGCTCAGGTGTATGTAAACAAACATATGAGAAAGCATAACAGTTTGCTGTGAACCCATTACAGTAGGTCCCACTCTAAATGGAGCCAAGGGAGGGGAAAATGGACTAGGGAAAAGGAAGCTGTGATCAGCACCATCTCTTTTACATTTACTGGGTATAGAAAAGTATGGCTGCAATTAGAATTATTCAGCCACTAAGCCACAAGCCTCTGTGTAAAGACACACATTTGTGTGACACAGTAGTACAAACAGCTGCCGCCAAAGATGACCAGGAAAGCTAGGAAGAATGATGTTATTACACATAAACAAATAAAAGCAGGACCATATGAGGACCAGCATGGACAAACCACACACATAATGTCGTTAAGTGTGAATGGACGGGAGGAAGAATATCAGCAGATGGGAAGCAGCTGAGGTCTGACAGATATTGCCAGGGGCTACGTATCCTTTCAGTTTGTCTTTGTCATCCACCACTATTTTCCTGCTTCCTCATGCCTGTCTTGTCTTGAGCCACACGCTTCATACTTGCGCTTTCATTTTCATCTTTTCCCTTTGGCCACTTCAGACTTTTCGCTCATTTCTCCTTCTCCCTTGCTCTATGTATATTTCCTCTGCACACCATCTCAGGTCAACCTGTAACTTTCCCTCAAGCTGATCATTAAGACCGAGGATGAAAAGTGTTTCAGCAAGTCAAGATGGCACTGAATCCATACAGGAGTAACCTCTGTTTGATCTTTGGAAGATGAAAAAATATAATTGGTTGTAAAACTATAATTTGGGCTTTAATCGCCTTGGTTGGTGTTTATCTGTATGAAACTTTGATCATACCTCATAGGAAATTGAGGCAAAAAGTTTCTGACCATGAAAAAAAACAAAAACTATACTTGTTAAAAAAGGATGCCTTTCAAGAAGATACCTTATCTCAATTAACATATGTCTCTTAAAGTTCCTAAAATTTACAAAATAGATCGATTTATTTCAAAACATTGTTTTAGTTTCCTTACAAATATACTCAGTTCTTCTAAAAGGCCTCATGTGCTGTATTTTTTTATTTTTTTTTTCAAAATCTATTTCCCTTCCCTCATCTCTAAGTTGTTTATTATGAATGATTTGTTTCAGCCAGGAGCCCCTTAGATTGATTTAAGAGTGTATGGCCACAGCCTAGATACTTCATACAGTAGCACTCATCAACCTGGTGAACTTAAGCCACGCCTTCTGTGTCGTTTCCTTTCAGGAACTCAGGTTGCTCATCAACGTAGTTTATCCTTTTTAATCATCTTAGCTCCCCCCCCCAATTTTATTGTTTTTCAGTCGTTTTATCATGTAGCTATTTACAAGGAAATAAATGATGAAAGCAATGTTTTAAGAGAGCCTTTTGACAGTTTTTTCAGAGACTTAAAAATAAGGTTTAGATTAAGTCTTTAGACATAAATGTATGCTATTAGACATTTAAAATCAGGGTTAGTATTTTTTTTTTACCTCTTTACAAGTGTTTCTTCCAGAAATCAATACAGAATTACTTTACATTGAAACATTTTTTAAGAATGTAAAGTCTTTTAAAACATTAAGGGCTTAACAAAGTAATAACGATAGAAGAACACAGCTACGGTACTTTAAACATCCCCATGAACACCATATAAGTAGGGTATACCTGCTAAAACAAACACTTCATACACTAACAGGTCCGGCTAGAAGAGAATTAATAAGAAAAACAGAAAAGAAGCTCCTTGTAACTATGGAGGATCTTCTAGGATCTCATCTCAGGGCTTCACTGATCTGGAATATCTATAAAATTGGCTTAAATAAAGCCATAAGATGTACATCTGCTACAAGCTACTTAGAAGATCTTGCAAGACCTTATAGGAAACAAAGGAAGAGCTGTGATGGTCAATCACAGAACATCCTAATAAAATCTATTGCAGTTCGTAACATATGAAATATTTTTCAAAAATGTGTTTTTGTGCATATTTTCACTCACCCAACACCCACTTCATGATCAACATCTCTGTCCATGAGAACTGGGTGGTTTTGACCCTGAACACCTGTCGGGGGTGATCTGTGATGGTTTCGTTTGGCAGGTTCTTGACCCCCTCAAAGCGGTCTGAAGCATTGACCACCAGCAGGCCAAGGAAGAGGGTGAAGGAGACAGCATGAGCCACGAATTTCATGAAAGGACTGCGCAGAATCTGACCAAGCTGCAGAAAAAAATAAAAAAATCAAAGAACAGGTTTTATTGTTTGTTTTTATTTTGTTTATATTTATATTTAGAGTTTCCAAGGTATGGAGATGTTCTGCAGTCCCTATTCCTATTTAGGATTCTTTCTTAAAGCAACATATACTGAAGCCAAACACAACATCTGTTTTTCTTTACTGAGGTAACTCATCCTTTTTAAGGATTTACACTAACCTAGGTCCTCTGAGATGAATAGCATCACTACAAAAACAATCTTAGCCGCAAAACAGCAGCTGTTCTAATTCAATGATCCATTTTCCAAGCAACATAATAGCAGAGTAACTCACTGCCAAACAATAAACAGTTAACAGAAAAAAGCACCATCTGGGCAGGCGGAAAGGCTGGAAGGTAGTGAGCAAAAAAGTGTTAAAACATACCGCAAGGGCTGCTCCAGTACAGTATGTCAAATACACACATGCTCACGAAAATGTGCACACTTGCAACCACATATAGACCTCTGAGATTTCAGCATTTGCCAATCTCAGAGCCTGCTGTGATCAATATTAAGTACCTACGGGACACCTCTACCCACTCTCTGCAGAGTAACACATCAGATCCTGTAGGTGAATGAATACCACACACACAGCCACCAACCAAGGAAAGGTTGCCTTATAATTTTTAACCCTGTGAAACTTTATCTAATGTTCTCGCCTCCATTTCGATTTTCCTGCACTGCTGAAAAAAAAATGTCTGATCCATCTGAATGGTCAGTCTGAAAAGATGGTCTCCCTGATTAGGCGTGCTTTTCCACCGTTCTCTTACATGGGATATGCAGAGATATTCTAATTGGGTTAAAAATGTAACAGTGGAGTAAATTATGGTGTCACAATGAAGCTTTAATGCACTCAAACTTCGAAAACAGTGTACTGGATCCTACACTGACTCCTGACATGAGCTAAATTTCGTAATTTTTTATGTGGCTCTATGACTATGGGCATACATTAAGGTTCCATCCTTATATTTGCATATTGCTGAGCTAATAAACCCTGATCATCAAAATATCACACAGACCTCTGTTTTTTGGAATAATGGCAGACAAGATGCACTTTTTAAATGTGTGACGTATAATGAATATAAGTTCATGTTAAGAGTAAAATTTACTTTTCTTAAATTATTCTCAAATATGGGCATGAAAACAAAAAAATAACATGACAGTAATAAAATTTTATCTAGCAACATTATCTTGAATGGTTTGTCTCCTCCAGCTGATAATGAGGATATAAAACATGGGAGCCAAAAATACTATGAAATGGGTAATTAGCTTGGCTTTCATTTTATTTGCTTCCTTTTGTGTGAGTAATTTTAAACACTGAGACCCCATAATGTAATTTACCTATTGTGTCTGAATATAATGAAGTTACCTTGGAGCTCAGATTTTGTATTAATACCTGCTGTGGGGAATTCGATTTAGGGAGTAGTGCCCCATAGCATGGCGCCATAAGCTACCACCTACTGTACATTGGGCTTTAGAAGCATCTGGTTTCTTAGTCCCTGCAGCATGTACTCTATAATAGTTCAAGTGTTGTAGAGAACTGAATATGATTTAATTTCTGAAATAAAAAAATGAATTACAATTCTCCAAAACTAAAGCTGCTTGTATTTTTATTATTTAGAAGTTAAATGTTCACCAATGTTGATCTATTTGCAAACATCCACCTCTCATTGATTTACTTTGCTTTTTTAATTGCCATCAACAGAAAGCCTTTTGCAATGACTGTGTCGCAATTATGTTCTAAGATAAGGACTTTAAATCCTCCACATTTCCAGGAGAACTTACTTTATTTAGTCCATGTTTTTTACACACACTCAGCCTGTCTTAATTAGCCAAGCAGAGACCGAGGTAATCCAAAACAAGACACCTAAGGCTTGTCTCTGGAGGTCTCACTGTCTGTTGAAAATTCAAAACAATTCATATAAGAGTGGTTTTACCTCAGTTATGCTCTTAATGGCTGCTTATGTGTTCTATGAATAATTTCTTTAAGCTTCAACTATTTCATTCTGAAATTCAGCTACAATGTAGAAATACTGAACACATCAGTTTCATGTCATTATTTTTCCAAATCAATACAGTATAAATTAATATTAGTTTTTTTTTCATAAATGAGAGGAAATAAACCAGCGCCTAATTACCAGGGTATTACACATGAAGCATGTTTCTTAGTGTAACATTCATAAATAATAAGAATAACAGCAATTTAAAAAAGTAATCCAAGACCATAGAACAGCACTCCTTTCATTATACCTGGAAGTCTTCACTAGTGAAGAAAAACAATTTTGAAACATTAAAAAAAATTATTTTAAAGACAACATACCAGAATATGAAGAGCTAGAAGATCATGGATGAAATAAACTAAGGCAATCTCAATAAGGGCAAATTTTTCAGCATGACACTAGCTATGTTAGCATGGATATAAGCAACTGGACTAAAGGGCTGATACCCTTTAAAGATGTGTGTTGCAAAAAAGCCATTAGGAATGCTGTGTTTGGACTGACCTCAAACGGAATAAAATTGTATTCCAATAAAAACGTTTGGGTTGTTTATGCTGATCTATGGTTCCGATCAGCATTTGTCTAAATATTTTCTCCAATCATGTCATTGGGCTTTGGGAAAACTGAACTTACTCTGCATGTACGTGTCGCATTGAATAGCAGCGCTATGCTAGATCTACATGCATAAAATTATATGCAATTTTATGCAATTGTGCATAAAAAGCATAATTTCATAAATACATGTATAAATATATTTGTTGTTTTCTCCTTGATATGTAGATTAATTGGGTTGCTGTGAATTTCAATTCAATATCCTCGTTTGACATAAATGCAGTGAGAAAATGTTAGTGTTCAGCTTTTAGTTTGTTGGTGTTCGGCTGCTGTTAAACTGTCATGAAACTCCTTTGGTTTCTCCTTAGCTCTGCCTTGGCCCTACTATGTCTCTACCTTTCTTATACCATATCCAAAATAATTAGAGAAAATACAGCACGGGATAACCTATCTATGCTGGATATGTTTAGGCTGCTGGATAACATGGGAACCAATTTTCATCATCCCGCTTCATTCAATCTCTATTCTGCAGCCTTTGTTAAATTCCACTGATAACTTTATGTTCTTTCTGCTGTTTTCCTGTCCTAGTAGCTTCATCTGGTCTGTTCCTGTTCGGCTGTGACTCCATCAACATCTCTGTTTTCTGTATGTCTACTTCTGTTTTCTTGAACCCCAGTCGGGCCCTGCATACTGTATGGCCGCTCACACTAAGCCTGGTTCTGCTGGAGATTTCTTCCTGTTAAAACGGAGTTTTTTCTCTCCACTGTCACTACAAGCATCCTCATTTCGAGGGATTTGTGAGGAGTCAATGACAAAATGCAAGCGAAAATCTTTGCCGCAAGCTCATCCAGCAAGAGCGCATCTTAAAAGTCAATGACTGGATGCAATAAACTGGTTTCCCTAACCAAACAGTATTGCCTCAGACAAACTTTATTGTCATTTTGTATTCACAGAGTGTATACAAATGGAAATCTTGTTTCTACAGCTTTCAGACAGTGAATGATCAGCAGCTTAGCAGTAAAAAAGAACATTTCCCTTCATAAAGTGCAGCAGTGATCAAATGTACACAGTGTGGGGAAAAAACCCTGGAGCTAAAGGCACTGATGTGGAAGGTTCAGAGTAGTGCAAGAATAAATAAATTGATATGGTGCAAAATGCAGTAAAAAAACATTTGAGTAGAGTTCTATTTTGGAGCTTCACCATGTAGTGCAGTATTGTCACTGTAAAGTTAGATGACATGCTCTGAATTGAAACTACAGTATATAAACAAACTGAAATAAATTGAAAATTAAACTGAAACATAAAGGTTCACAGCCTTTGTAACTACACAAGGCTAACCACCCTTCAGATAAATTAAACTGCTAACCAGCACACCTAAATCAATAGATCATTTCAGTGCAGTGTTAGTAACTTGTGTTTTTTCCAGTGTTACAAATCACAGAATGTTAGATACAGCCTCACTGGTTGGCTGATTTGTGATTATTAATAATCACAAATACATACATGTGCACACATCAGTAAGATCAGATGCAACCAGTCCCACATGATTGAATCCACGACTCTGTGGTGAGGAATCTCTCAGCATCATAGCACTCTTCATCCTCTCAGCCAAACACTCAACATCAGCTGCTCTCACTCTGCCTGCAAAATGACACTCTCATCAGTAAAAACCCAGACATGAACCATTGGTTCACAACACTGTCTGTGAATCACTCACACACACTCACATGCATCCACCACTTGATGAGGGGGTAGAGGATTATCCAGCTTGATGAGCAGATTTGCATAACTGCTTGTAGAGTCCCTGCATGGCCTTCGCAATATTGTCACTCTACAAATTATAATTTCCTTGATGGAAAATTAAGAATGTGTGATAAAATGACTTCGGCACTGTAATGAAAAAGTGACAAGATTGACTTTCATTCCATTCATGTCCATCAAAAACTGGTTTAGAGTTCTTTAAGAAACATGTTTTCATCAAAAAAGCTCCAGTTGCAATACAGCAAATTTAACCCCTGGTATTTATAACTAGCATCCCACTGACAGAAAAAATCCAGCAGACCTCATCAACCCCTGCATTCTCATTGTAATGATTATTGAGCAGTTCCTAATGAAAAAATATGTGATTGCTTTCTTTCTTGCATGTGTTACCTGACTGAAACAAAAAAGATTCTAGTTTTTTAAGGGGCACAGATGGTAAAAGAAAGGTATAGAGGGTAAAATGTCAATAACCAATCTAACTAGATAAAGCTGTTTCGGAGAAACATCAAAGTGGGAATGCTTTTGCTGAATGAAAAAAGCTGAAATTACCTGAAGAACATATGAAAATGAGATAGGAAGTCATCAGAAACTTCAAACTGCAGAAAACAAGGTTAGCAGATGCTTTATTACAGTGTAAATCTTAGAACCTGATTAAGAAAT